GAGTGGGAGGGCCTGCGTCTCCCAGGCCTGTCAAGGCTCAGACCTATTTCTGTAGCTCAGCCCTGCCTGAGGGCCTGAGCTCTGCCACAGTGCTTGTTGCTTGCCCTGACCAAGGGCCTGGGCTAAATACTTCATTTACTGTTGCTCAACCCTGACTAAGGGTCTGAGCCCTGACCTAATGCTGGTGCCCGCCCTGAGCTGGGGTCGGGCTTCCTGTATCTTTCAGGGCTGCTGGGGGAGACCCAACAGCCAGACCATTCACTCAAGCGCCAGCAGGCAGTGAGTCGGTGTGGCTCCCTGCCACCCCAGAGCGGTCGAGCCCCGTCCAACTCCTGTACAGTCTGGACCACAGACCAAGGGGAATTCTCTGAAAACACCATCCCGCTTCAGAGCCGGGCGGGGGGAAAGGGAAGGGACCCCGTCGGGACAGGCAGGTCACTGCTGGGCAAACCAGCAGCCTCGTCCCCTTCTGATTTCCGAGGTGAAACGCCCCCCCCCTTCTCCTGCCACCCCCTGGTGTCCCGGGCAGGGCCAGGGGCCCAGGCTGCCTGCAGACTCGGGCACACGCGCCAGGCTCCCTCCCAAGCAGCGGGGCTGGGGCACAAGGGCGGGGCCGCTGCGCCCCGCTCGGTCCCTCCCGCCCCCGGCCTCACCGCGCCGCAGGAGGCGGCGGAACGCGCGCTGCAGCGGCTGAGCTCCGCCCAGGGCCGGCTGGGCGGCGGGACCCCAACAGCCCCCGCGGCCGCCGGGCCCAGCTCGCTCCGCAGCGGCAGCATCGGGCAGCGCAAAGCCGGCCCCCGCTCCCGCCGGGCAGGCGGGTCACGAGCCACGCCGGTGGCCACGACGACCAATGAGAAGGGTGAACGCGGCGCACGTGCTCTAATGGAACCAATCGGCGATCAGGGGCCGTCTAAAGGGGCAGGGCGGCCGCTCCCGGCTTGTTGTGCTGCTGCCATGGCAATGCTCGGCGCGGCCCCGGGAGGGGCTGGGCCTGGTGCCGCCCCCGCCGCGCCTCCCTGGGCCCCGCCCCCAGCCCCGCTGTGCCCCAGTATCCCAGCCCCGCCCCCGCCGCGCCTCCCTGTGCCCCGCCCCCAGACCTGCTGTGCCCCCAGAATCCCGGCCCCGCCCCCAGCACGCCTCCCTATGTCCCGTCCCCAGCCCCACTGTGACCCAGTGG